GTGGCCGTTGTTTACTGTGTTTCCTACTGCTTTTGTTCTGCTGCTGCTAGTGTCCGCGGCCTCGCAGTAAAGCTAGGCAATGTTGTGCACGGCAACAGTGACGTGAGACGTACTGCTTGAGGCGGGTGATTTGAAGTGCGCTGACCTAATGCGAAGCACTAAAACGCAACTTTATTTGAAAATAAGCCATTTCTTGGCACAAAAGTAACACTACGCGGTTTCTAGACCGCTATTTTAACAATTAGCGTCGACTTAATAGTTGCCTATAGTATTCCTTTAAAGTAGAAGGCGTTATACGACTCATTAAATTTGAGAACTGGCCACTTTCAGTACCTGTGGCGTTAGCGTGAGTAAGCGAGGAGTCAGCATCCCCTTATTATATCACCACGTGGCGTCATCACTGCGTCAATTATCACCAAAATTTGTGGCAATGTCACGACGTCAGTATGATGTCTTAAAATGACATCGTCAGTATATCAAAGGTAGGTCAGTCGCGGAGGAAGCGCAAAACCTGATTAGGTGCAGGAGACTTTCAGACGGTGCATGGGCGAGAACCAATATACCGAATGAAAAGAAAAAAAAAAGATGGAGCTGACGCTTTGACAAGTCGTCTTGCTTTCTTCAAAACATTAAGAATCCTTGAATGGGGGCCCCAAAAGTTTAGGGCCCCAAAGCGCTTTGCGCAAACTTGCATTTAACTAAAAAGAAAGTAAAAGTCTACGAATAAGGTTCTGCGCTCAGCCTTTGCATCGTGCGTGCGTAGCGCCCTGACGGCCAGAAAGGCAGACTACTGGAATAAATATTTAAAAAATGTTTCCCGGAAAATTACTTTTCGCACACACGTTCTTAATAAAAATGTTCATTGTCTTGACGTAGCGGCGATAAATTCACTAGCAATCTTAATCGATTCTGTGAGTTCACTTTCTGGCCGCGATCAGTCAAGATAATTCAACTTCTAACCACCCAAGCTCACCTGAAATTTCCGTACCCTTTTTCTACACAACGAGACTGTACCCTGCCCCACTCGATCAGGGACGACGTTCGAGTACCTCCACTCCCGCGTAACATGCACCCGGGCTACAACCACGGTCGTCGTAGAGGACGCTCCGCCGCGCTACTGAAAGCCCCGGCCGCTATGGTTGACTCGGTTGCCTTTGTAGACGCTGCAAATTACCCCAAATATAAGCACTGTGTCGGGCCCTGACCACGCAGAACAGGTAGCACTCGCTTTAGAAATGGTGAGCGCAACCCGAACTACAATTTACACTGATTCCCGAGCCGCGGCTCCGGCCTACCATGTGGGCTTGGTCTGAAAAAAAGAATGTGTTCTTGTGTGCCGCGTGAATTGGCACCAGCCTTTTAATTTGGTTTCCTGGCCATATGGGCTCATCGTCCCAAACCTCATCGTCCCAAACGCCAACGAGCTTGCCCACTCCCAGGTACGAAACCTTACTCGCCGCGTCAGGGGAGACGGTGGCCCACCGCCTAAGGACGAAAATTGGCTCCGGAATCAACTGCAGACCTATAATGAAATCTGCCAGCACTATCGTCTCGAATGGCGAGAGTTTCTGGTACCGCAACTTCGACTCAAACGAGCGCAAGCACTATCCTTCCGTCTCCTATGAACAGGAGCATATCCCTCACCGGCAGTTTATGCGAGATTCATAAGCGAACCAAGGCTTCGGTGCCCCTGATGCGGAATCTCGCGTTGCAACTTACAACATATGCTGTGGCGATGCCCCGAGTTGCGCGCGTACGACGGGTCTCCAATCACAGAAAAGGACTGGGATGCTCTCCTCACAAGTCTCCACGAAGACGACCAACTTAGGGCCGTCCAGAGGGCTCATGACATGGCCGTAGAGTTTAACCTACCGGTACCGTCATGGGTGCGGCCTGCAGACCCTTTGGGGGTCATCGCCTCCTTAGGACCCAATAAAGTTATTCAGTTATTCAGTCAGTGGCGTTAAACTTTCGAGCTCTCAGACCGACAACCAAATAAAAAAACATATTCGTTATCATTGCATGTATAGGTAAAATAAAGTAATAGGATATGCCAGCATACTTAAAATTCATAACGCCATCGAATGCTCAGTTCGGTTCATTGAATAACGTAATTCGGAACAGATCTCCGATATCTGGTCAGTTTTTTACACATCACTTCCCTTGGTGCCACCATGTTCGTCGGAGGCAAAGCTTTTAGGGAATGCTCTGCGGCACCCACAAAATAAGAAAAAAATCACAGCAGACCCACGGAGTGAATGATGATGAGTGGGGCGAGGCGTCCGCCCATGTGTCCATCCCTGCTTCTATCCGTGTGTTCGTCCATTGATCCGTGCATGCTTCCGTCAATACTTCTGTCCATCCTTCCGCCTGCCTGCCTGCCTGCCTGCCTGCCTGCCTGCCTGCCTGCCTGCCTGCCTGCCTGCCTGTCTGTCTGTCTGTCTGTCTGTCTGTCTGTCTGTCTGTCTGTCTGTCTGTCTGTCTGTCTGTCTGTCTGTCTGTCTGTCTGTCTGGCGACGAGCACGAGCCGCCGCGGTCCTCCGCGCCCGCCTCTCCACTTCGTCCATGCCCCACCAACGTACCTACACGTACGGTGACGATACAGGAGACTAAGTGTGGCACTCGTTTTCCGCGCACCCAGGCATAGCTCACGCAACAGTCAATCGGAGAGTAGCGGTAGAGAGCCACCATGAATATCTTCGATCAGCTGCAGTTCGTATGTACTTCTATGAGGCAGCGTAATTAATTTTACTGTTCTGGAGATACTGATGGTTGCGCCTGACGCGGGACAAGGTTAGACTAAGAGGAGCTTCGCTCCTAAAGTAGTGTCTCGGAGGCACAAAGAAAGGCAAAGCTTGAGCCCACCACATCTCCAACTCGACATAGGGCAGGCTAGTTACGTGCGCCATTTACAAATGCGTACTACAATCTACTAATCGTCAACAAAATCCACCCAACGCACTGCTCGGACACCAGTCCATAGTGTTGGGACCAGACATTTCTCACCCATATAACATGGACGTGTAGGCACAGGCCACCTGATGCCAATATCTGGTTAACCTCCCGGCCTTTCCTTTCTCTCTCTCTCTCTCTCTCTCTCAGGCCACCCGAAATTATCTAGTCATTTATTAGAAAAAACCAATTTGAGGTGCCAGTGAGAGGTCTGGTTTCCGAGGAAAAATCTGAACCGAAAGCTAAGTTGCTCTGCTGAACCAGGTGCAGTGGGCCGCCGATACCAGTGGGCCTTAGTCTAGGAGTACACGCCCACCTTCACCTCAGTCCCATTCTGTAAAATGAGGTTTCCTCTAATACTACTACTTTTGACAATTTGAACGTGAATTCAGCTCGTTATGGACGGTTGTTGTGATTCTTATGACGACGACTTCGGAAGCAGTCACATTTACTTATCGTGTTGAACCATGTATTCTCTGCCGTGTGTTCTCTTCTTTGAATCACAGTATTTGCATTGTCGAGTGAAGTTATTTAGTTGTTATGGTGGAAAGATGGGAAGGGCTTCTTTTTTCATTAGGCAAACGCAAATATTTCGAAGGCGCTTCTGCGGATGTCCTATGGCTGTGCAAGTGCAAGCTTTACCCAGGGGAATTAAAATTTTAACAAAGGTTGTGGTAGATGTGTTTTCTGTGTTTCTGTATGGTTCTACTGTAGCACCTATGCAGTGGTACTTCTGTAGCATTGCATAAGTGCTTCAAAAAAGACACGAACGAAGGCACAGAAAAACATCACCAAGTGGGTGCATATGGACGCCACGTCGCTGCGATGCCGGTGTAGCGCAAAACGTAGTGATTTTTGTTGAATTTCAACCAACTAGCCCAAAGGAGCGCCTTATATTCTTGACTAGAACAGTAGATGATGAACACGAGTGCACAACATACACTAGACAAGAATTCTGTCGGTCATCTCAGTTCGTTCTAATTTATCTTTTACGTGAATGATAAGTCTGTGGAATATTATAATACCAGCACTATATCACTAAAGTGGCACAAGTGAAGCTCGAAAAGCACTGAGTGGACTCTATTCTCGCAATGTGACATTAAATGTGTGCTTCACTGCTTTATCAGGACTACCTTAGCCTTCTCAAATGTGCAGCTAGACAGTTTACAAAAACATTAAGAGATGACTCTGAATGTAAGCCATACCATGTGGGAACGCTCAAGCCCCTTAATGACACCTATTCGAATCAGTTATTATAGACGTGTTTCCTATATGTGCTTTTAACCTGCACAAACTCCCAAAGTGTCATTGGCTGACACGGCTGCAGGACGTCGGACGCCTCCATCGTAAGTAAGAGACAAAAGTCTTCAATGGTTCTCAAGTAATGCTAAGTAGTTCATGAGCCTGCTTTATTTGCTGTTGAAGCTTGCTAGCTGGTTTTCATCAACAACTGTAGAGGTGGCTTTTGAAAATAGAAATGTACACGAAGGTGACATTTTTATGAGGTATGCGATTGCCCTAGGAGTGTTCTCACAAAAGGTGGCACCACACAATGGCCATTGTATTATTTCACAAGTTGCTGTTCATGCTCGCACTTTGCCCTGAATTTATCGTAACAAGTCTTTATTGCTTCATAAGTGTATGAGTTTCGAGAAAAAATTCTTAGAACACGAAAAGTCTCTGGAGCTAGCGCATCAATAAGCTCCTTCCTTGTGTACGTGGCTTGTCACATTAATTTTACTTTTTCGTTATGATTTTGTACTCTACATTCTTGTGTCTCAATGTCTCATTGATGAGACGTGCATCACTATTTGTAAATAGTAATAGGTGTATTCAGGCACGCATTCATTTGCTGTGTTGACTTTATGGAAAAATATAAATGCTTCATCGCTCTCATACAGGCTCTTTCCCACGTGCGTCGAATATGGCTGCTTTGTGTATAAAGCACAGTTTTAAGCGAACTTTTGGTTGCCTTCCACTGTATACAATGTGAAAGAGGCCACGCATTTGAGTTCGCTCACGAAGTATCTAAAAATAATACGAAGCTGTAAAATTGGGTCAATGTATTTTATTATTTTAACAACCAACAGCAGTGGCAAAGAAAAAAACAAGAATGAAGTATTCCCTCGATCAGCTTAACCGAGATTGGCTATTGTTTGAGGAAGTGCAACGTGCAAGTGCTTTCTTCGGTTGCAAGCACACAAGCTCCACAGCACGGCCGTCGCGTGATCCAGAAAGCCTGCTTCACACCGCAATTGCAACGAACAGGAACGAAAAATAAACCACGAGGACACACCTATACACACACACAATAGTAAAGAAAAGAATAGAAAGAAAGCACTAGTACGAGAAACAGCAAGCTGGCGACCATACAGTATTGCACCTATGGGTAAAGTTTATCTGCAGTTTGCTTTCCAAAGCATCCGCTGTACAGAGTCGTACATTTTTAATACTCATACCTTGGTTTGTATAATAGCTCTATAGTCTACTGCATAAGGAAACATCAATTGAGGATTTGTAAACGTAAATTTAATTTCTATCAACACTCGGCAAACTTAGGCTGTTAGAACTCCTTTAATAGTCATGGTCTATGTGTCATAAAAGTGGGCGACCCTGTATGTGACGCTGTGCATAAAGCTTTCAAAAGGTTCTGCTAACTTTGCTTCCCTAAGGTATGCGCTGATCTAAAATTGCTGTCTGTGTAGCAGCATAAAAACAACCAGCGTGGATTTATCATAGAGAGGAATATACTTCGCTGAGGCTTGTTATATAGTAAGCTCGCTAATAAGTACGGATGCCGATAAAAATGGCTGCTAAGTTAAGCGAATGCGACCAATAGACTGAATTATCGCAAAACGTTTAGACAGTGGTTGGTTAGAATTACAGAATTCCATTGTTTCTGTATTACTCATATAAGAAAGTTAAACTTAAGCCTAGCTGGCTGCAATATTTGCACTGGAATACAATCTTGAATTTCGGGGATCTTATCCATTCGTTAGGAAGGCCTATCTTACTCTCTCCTTATTACTAATTATATAAGCCACTAGCGTCAAACGAATTGCACCTGCATTTATTCGTTAATCAAGCCACAATGAAGCCACGAAGTACAAAAAGGAAAGCACTGGTGAAGTTATTTGCGATACGTACATTCGTCACAGCTTCGGCATGCTCTTAAATGTACAAGTTTCTCGACCGCTATGTACAATTCCCACACGGTTCCAAATTCCACAGCGATTCCACCGGTGGAGGGAGCAAGAACAATCAATAGCCAACATTACAGACGAACAGTCAACGAGCAACCGCAACCAAAGAGTCAAACGTGCCAGCATCAGGTGTATTACATTTGACTAGCAAAAAAACAAACCAAAGTAAGAAAACTACGTCCTGTTGCGGTGCTTGAAATAGGGTCACTGTGCATACATTAAAAACTGAAACAGTTCTAAGCCGTGCACTAAAACTAACACCCTTTTACGCGACTAAAGGTGTGTTAGCATGATGGTACAATATCTGCTTTTCTTTAATTTCCCTTCAGTTGAAATGAATGTTTGTAGAGTGTAAGAAGATCAAGAGTACCATAAGTACTTATTGATTAGTGTCTTCTGACGGTCCGCTTGTTAAACGAAGCCTCCTGGAGACTTAGTGCCACCGTTTAGAAACGGCTAGACTGTAACGCGCTTTTATTGTCGATTTACTTGGCATCATCAGCGGATGGTACAAGGGGCGTATCATGGAACCGAATCGCCGGATAATAAATCACTGGGACATTTGAACTTTAACAACCGCACACCTTGTGCTATATGATATCAAAACTGCCACGGAACGTGCTAATTAACAGTAAAAGCGATTGTACAATATTTTTGAGCAAATGCGATTTCAATGCTGTTTTTTTTACCTGGTAATAATCTGCACGTGTGCAAACAAAAAAGAAAGAAAATGGAATGGCACAGAAGTCACAGTTTAGCATAGAAGTGTTAACTAAACAATGCGTGTGGAAGTAGGCCGATGCCGACGAGCGGCACTTAAAAATACATCTTGGTCCCCTCGATGCGTGGTGCACATCTTCATCACCATGTGATGTAGAGACGACACGTGCAGATTGAAGTTATTTCGTTTCGTCGAAGCACCGCAGTATCTGCCGCACTGTTACTTGACCCCATATTCTTCCGTTTCGCTCTTGCACGTGATGTTTGGTCCCAAATTATACTGGTGCCACGAGCACCGATCCGCCCCTGGACCAGGGCAGATTCTTCCAAAGGATCGGATCTCGACCCTTGCAGCTAGATGGAAAGAAACAATCGCCACCGGAGTGAGTCGATGGCCGGTGATGATTCCAGCCCCCAGCAGCAACTGCGAAGAAAGTGAGATTATCGAATCATAAATACAGAAGAAAATCAAGGCAGATAGGTTAACGATACACACGGCGGGTTTTCCAACGTGCACTGGGACAGAGAAATAATGAATGAAGAGAAACGGAGAAACATCGGAAGGACAAACGAGCATTATTTACGCACCCGAAAGTGTACAAAAGTAATGAAGGTGTGCATAACTTTGATTTATGTTCGTTTTTAAAGCATTCGACAACGGCTCCCCAGCATGGCCAGAAACGAGATGCCTAGCAAAGGCCCACCGCGAGAAGAAACCGAAGGAGTACCGAGCGGGCTCACTATCACGCCCCAAGTGTACGCTAACAGCTGCAGAGGCGGGTACAGTCAAAGAAATTGAACCATCGCACGTGAGCTTTATTCGTCTTTACTAAAGAACAATTGTATTGAGAAAAAGATGGCGGGAGAGAGAAAGAGAAAGTCAAAGTGAGAGTGTGACACGTAAGAAGGTGTATGATGATATGGCCAGAAATTATGCCATTTCAAATTCTGCTTAGGGAAGTGACAAAAAAAGAGAGGAAGATGAAATCGTGCGTAGAGAAGAAGGGAAATTGGCAAATGCGAATATGAAACTGCATTTAATGACAATTGACGTCCAAATCAAAGAAAATTAGCTATGCAATGAATAGCTTTACCGTATCGACGCTCATTGGCATCGCACAGTAGCGTATAACTAACTGTTCGCATATCACAACATCTATGTCACATATCGCAAGATCTTGCAAAATTACACATGTTTTTTGAGGGAGATAACCACAACTACCACCACAACCATCATCATCATCATCATCATCCTAACTACGCCCACTGCAGGCAATACCTCTCCCATATTCCACCAATCAATCCAGTCATGTGCCTTCTGCTACCACGTTATACCTGCAAACTTCGAATCTCATCGGTTCATGTAAATTTCTGTCTCCCCATCATGCGTTTACCTTCTCTAGGAATCCAGTCGGTTATCGTTTATAACCAGCGGTTATGTTGTCTACGCAGTATGTGACCGGCCTAAGTCCATTTCTTCATCATTTTGACTCTGATATTCTTGACCCCGGTTTGTTTCCTGAACCCTTCTGCTCTCTTCTTGTCTCTTAAATTTACGTCTATCATTTCCCTTTTCACGGCTCAACACGTCGTCCTTAATTTAAGTTGAATTTATAAGCCTCCATGTAAGCACCAGTAAGATTCAGCAGTTATATACCTTTCTCTTGAGGCATAGTGGTAGGCTACCATTCATGAGATAAGAATGCTTGACGATTGTGCTCTCTCCTACCATAAGTTTTGAATTAAAATTTTTATTTTGTTTTTTAACTATAACATACTGCAGACTACAATTTGGTCTCGGCAGGACGAGCACTAATTTTACGTATGAAACAGGAAGTCCAATACAAAATATCAATACAGTTACACCAAGCAATATACAAAACCTCAAACATAATTCAGAAAGAACCCTGAATCGATCAGCTTTTCCCTAGATTCTCTTCCTTATTTAATGTGGTGTTTACTGTATGTGTCCCATGTAATACACGCGTACTCTAACTTGGGTCGAATGAATTTCACATAATGTAATGCTGGCAGGGGAATTTCAAATTTTGTGTTTTAGGAAGCCAAGTTTACAGAAAGCGGAGAGACAAACATTGCTAATACGTGTGTTCAATGATTAATTGTTCGTGATTGTTACACCTAAGTATTTGTAAATTTCAACTTTCCTTAGGGGTGAAGCGGTCAGTGCGTAGGCATATTTTAGGGGGCTTGTCTTGCGTATGCGAAAACTTACTATTTTCTTTAAAACCATGCCTGCCCTGTCACACCAAGATTGTATGTTCTGCAAACTTATTTAAAGGTCTGTTTGGTCATGCACTGTTGTTATTTCTTGGAATAAAACATAATCGTCCGCAAACAATCTTATCTGTGTGCTATCGGCGTCAAATGAAACCCGCGCAGCGGCAAGCCTTCGTGAACATTCGAGCGGTTATCTAAGCGATGCGCAACTGTTTTATTTGTGGTAAACCTGCGTGCGATGAACTATTGGCATTATCTGTGCAAGGAAAACTACGTTATCGACTTTCAACTTTGTTGGCTTGCCTATCGAAGTCTGCAAATGCGCGTGACTTCTTGTCACGGGCGATTCCGTCTTCCGGCCTCGTTTTTTTAATATAGGCACGTTATCATTTTTTCTTCATCCCAGACATGAGCAACGCCGTTAATTTACATCTTGTCAAAAGATAAGGTATTTTTTTCGTGTTTTCATGTTTTTTTTCACTTGCCTACAGTTTTCGTCTGGTGCCCCGAATATTCCGAGAAAGGTCTTCACCGATCGAAATATTGGGGTTCTTCAATTTATATTCCCTTAGAAAAATGGACTTGTTCCTCGACTTTAAAAGCCTTGCAATGATGGGTGGTTTGTGTTCGATGCCGGTTTTTTCTAAGCTATTCATTCCATAGCTATATCCTCCAGTTCAAAGGAAGCTCTAAAAAATGTCCTTGTTTACAATAATTTCTAAGGTTTCAGAGTTTGCGCCGTTTTGTTTAGCTCATTCCGTAAATTCTTAGTTTAAATTATCAGCTCCACTTCTATAGTTCGCCTACCTCCTTTTTGAGCAAATGAAGTACATTGCTAATGTGGCTAAGCTGTTTCTGGCAAGAGTTAATCTTTTATTTCACTCTCATGATGCAGCTCCGCGGTTACTGTCCTTAGTAGACACATCTGGAACTTCGGTTTATATAAAAAAGGCGGGATTTTTTTACATGTTCGATATCTAGAATACGTCAGCAGTCTTCTTTAAGTACCGATTTTTCTTAAGCTCAATCTTTTGCACTGTTCTGTTTCCGAGATATTGTACAAACACGCCAAAGCTATGTTTTACAGTTGGTACAATAATGAAAACCTAAATGCTTATCGGCAATAACAGCATTGGATTTGACCGTTTGAAATGCAGTGAAAAACAGTGGTTACTCAATCGTAACTATTTTCTTCTAAGTAGTTTAATAAATATTATTATTCCTTTGTTGTATTGCAGTGAAAAAGGATCAACTTTATTAGGGTAAATCTGCTTGATTTCTGGTTGCCGTTGGCCGCGCTGGCAATCGCGGTGAATGTTGCTCGCAACAATTGCAATGTGAAAGCTTTCACTACACGCAGTTTTCTCGGACGCAATGGAACGGCACTTTGCTACTTGTTCTCGTTCGGTCTATTAAAGTCGTTTTCTGCTAGTGGCTGCATTTTTTCATTTACAGCCATATTACATTCGACCCAGTTGTGACCACCACACTGGAGCATTACAAATATTAACATGTGGCACAACCTCAGTGAACGCTTTTCGACAACGTGCGCAGCTTTGCAACAGTTCACGGTCACTTACCGGACGAGCGCCCTCTTCTGACCTTGGAACTACACGTAGACGAGGCAGAGCCCGAATACCAGCGTTGCCACTGAGAACACCGCACCCATGCTGGCGCTCTGAAAGCAGTTCGTAGAAATCGGAGGTTACCGTGCATTTTAGGTAAAGAAGCTGATAGCGCATGTCCGGCCTATGTTAATTGTAAAGAAAAGGTACTCTGACTGCATCAGCTTCTTCAAGACATGGGCTAACACTTCTGGGATTTCACGCCCAGAAATACCAACAAATTGAAACCGAGGAACCACGGCCACTTATGGCTCAATTGATAGAGCAACGAAGGTTGATTCGAAGGTTGTGGGTTTGGTCGCCACCAACGGTAAGTTATGTATAGTTTGACGTTATTTCATTTTCTTTAATTTTTCGAATTATCACTAGAATGTTAACAATATCAAGCATTTTACGTTCCGAAACTACGATATGATTATCGGAGATGCCGCATTTAGGGGAGGGCTCCGGAAATTTTGACCATCTGGTGTTATTCAACGCGCACTGATATCGCACAGTACACGGAGCTTGTAGCATTTCGCAATGGCTGGGATCGAACGCACGAGTTTCGGTTCCGAAGCCCAGCACTGTACCATCGAAGAGAACATAATTGCTTTACAGTACAGTTAAAAACTACAAATAATGTATTGCATGCTTTCAATGGCTTCATGGCTCATCGTGTACATTACGTTGCGTCTAACAAAGATAAAAGCGACTCGATCAGTGCCCCTTCATGACGCGTTATGCCTTATTTAACAAATATGCTCTTTTCCTTCGGTCCGGCACGGCTACTGAAACTAATCGCTCACAGTGCTCTTTGAGGAGCTTATGGGCTGAGTATATCAGTCTCGGCAGCGCCTGTGTTATCGCGTACTTTGAGCAAAGTCGCCTGCAAATAACCCAATGTTCTGTTGTTTTCTTTATTTCCTTTTTTTTCACTGTCAGACTTCATGCAGTCTGACTAGAAAGCAAAAAGAAATGACTTCAAAGAACGCTTGTGGTCCTACTTTCATTGACACCATACTGCATGAGCTGTCGTAATTTCAAGCAGTTAAGTTTTCACAACCAATGGACTTTCGGGAAAATAAAAGCATTTTCGACAGCGCACCCTAGATGAAATAAGTGGAAGCGACACAGTAAGCGCACGCCAGACGAAGCCACCTCACTTTTTTATATCTATCTAGGCCACGAAAGCACAGATATTATGCCATTAAAGTTTTCTTTTGCATTTATTGTGCGTTAAATTATTACCGCTTCAAAAAAAAGGAAGATCTGATTTGTTATGAAGCCTATTCTTCTATGATGGCAAAAAAGTCGATACTTTTCTGCTATAGCAATCACATCAGCCTTCGTATCGTGAGGTTCTTCTTCCAGCCAGCTCGTAATTTTGAGTAAACTACCAATTTTGGCGAGAAATTGTGAATGGCAAAAACAGCTTTATAAGGAGTATAGCAAAAATTAATATAGAGTGTGCCTTCACAACTTGACCATGCTTTGAGGTATGCGCTAATAATCTTGTTTAAGCTACATATATATACGAGAAGTAACATTTAATAGTCGAGAAAAGTGTATGGAAAAACTACTGGCGCGTAAATTGAATTCGTAATAAATATGTGCTCGCAGGGATCCGTAAAACAAGGAGAAAAACGTCTATCATCAACACCTCAACAAAATGACTTCTATGAGGTGAGGTTACTTAGGTTCCGGCTATACTGGCGGGCATACCGACCACGACTTTTACAACGCGACGGGACCAGCTCAACAAAATATTCTGCTGGCCCCCGAGAACTCCCTTAAAAAGGCGTTTGATTGTAACTGTAACCGCGAAAAAGCACTCACGCTTGGTTTGGCCGTAGTAGTAGTCGGCGCTGGAGTCGTGGTGTTCGCGGCCACCTGGTTCTGGGCTCCGGGTGTAGGCATGCCCGTACTGGTTGTGGAGGGGGCAGTAGATGGCGCTGCCGAAGAAATGGTTGTCGTGGTGGGCATGGGTGTTGTCGAAGGCGTCGTCGTCGGTGCTGTTGTTGAAGAAGATGTTGTGGTCGTCTCCGGTTCCTTTGTCGACGTTGCTTCCACCACCGGGGAAGCAGTTGTTGAGTTCTCACCACCAGAAGATACCAAACCCGTCATCGCCTGGGCATGTAGGGCAGAGGAAAGAATTTGTTTCGCATTATTTCACTTCAAATGAATGTAACGGCACCACTTACATCATCTTACTTGTCATAAGATAATTTGTGAAAGCACATGGCATACCAAACCCAAATAGACACTACTCATATACCATATTAACAACGTCACGTCCACACTGTTTCACTTATTACACGTCCTCTGCAAGCGCATCAATTAGCTTAGTTTAGCTAACTCATGAGTGAATTTTTTTGTTTATTTACGATGTCTCTCAAGTAATCATTGAAAAGGTTTTACATGAACTGTTGATGAATATAGAGTAACTAGCCAGCACCACAATTAGTTACAGGAATCAGCAAGATGAGGCTGTACACATATCGCAAAATAGAACTGATAAGTACAAGATTTGCATGTAAAGTGAATAAATAAAAAAAAATCAACACTGTTGGTTATAAAACATGCACAGCTGTACAGCGCACAACTTGAAAAACATAATTAGGCAATACTATTTTTTTACTCTGTCTCTGAAGCTCTGTGCAGTTTAGTACGAATATATCTCGACACAGCTATTGCCATCTCATCATCTGCAAAATACTGTTACGTGTTCCACGACTTACCGCGGTCATATATGTTCGGGTCCGTGCGATTCGGCTTCTGTTTTTTGTGCTAATTTCAATTGCACTGCAACATTTACAAACAGTATCAAGGAAATAGAGCGATAACAAGGTATATTTCACGAACGAAGCGCTTAGTATGCAGTGTGGCATAAAGTTTACGGCCAGTGAAGCAACGGCTATGTCAGCGATGACGAATGCCCACGTCTATTTAAAATATTGTTGAGAAATTTTTCGTCACTTCTGCATTTCTTATTGTGTTCATGAGTAGTGACTTCTCACAAAGGGAAGGGCAAGAAGAAATAAGTAAAAATACCTTTAGAGGAATGAAAGTTGGGACCAGTTTGTTGTGTATACTTAGAATGAAGCCCAATAAACGAGACAGAAAAGGTAAAAAACAAATTAAATGAAGACCTTCATCCAGTCTTTCTCGCTTTTTTTGTCCCGTCTATTGCACATCAGTTTCACCAAGTCAATAAACAGAAAACTGGATGGAATGTTCTTTCAAATCAATAAACAAAGGAGTGAATTCTTTTTAATTTCGGCTAATGTAAATGTCCTTCATTCTTGTCGGGTGCCTAATTTTTTTCTCTTCGTTTTCGGCGCAATTCATTCGAACTCATCAGCCCTCCCCACGCGCAGGAACCCAGTGTTGACGCGACGTGCCCCGTACACGGATGGTCGGCCATGCCTAGCTGGCGACTTTCTTCTTTGTTCGCGTCTCTCTTTGCGAATGAACCGCTTCGCACCGACTCAGCGCTGTGACGTCGACACTCAAGTTTTTTTTTCCTACTTGAGGCAGTATGCTATCCGATACAAAATACGTTATGAAAGTTGTGATAAGTGTAAGCATTATTGGGGCGAAGCCCTTAGATACCTCGATGAAAACTTAAAAATCAACAATGGTCCATGGCGTCGACACGAAGGGTTCAAAAAGTGTCGTGTGGTCGCAAATGACACCACGAATCACCAAATTTTGTGACGTCACCATGATATCACACGAACAGGTCATCCCGTGACATGATCGCTTGGTTGAGAGTGGGTCAATCTTGGAAGTAGTATAGCCCCACGTGACGTGTAGAAAGCATGGGGTGGGAGTATCCGTTCGCTGGACTAAGAAGAAAAAGTGCCAAAAGGAGAAAAAAGCCTTCGTCTTTGAGTTGTGTGAAAGGCACCTTGTGATTTTACTAGAACTACAAACTAATTTTTCTTTCTATTCTCGATGAAAGTCAACGTGATGCGTACGCTAGAAGAACGTTTATTCTTTTGGACGCTGTTTGATACTCTGTACATTAGAAAAGTGCTACATTTGTCTATATAAAAGCGAGTCATTTCCTCGTTCACAGTAGCAAGATGCTCATTAACTCACAGAGCACTGTCAATCGTAAAACAAAGATTATAGGGCAGACAAGCCAGAGCGGCATTTGTTTCTATCATTTCAATTGTAAAACAAAACAAACCAGTTATTCATTTAACCTTAACTTCATGAACGGTAGTGAAAGAAGTCTGTACTAAATATCGCATTGAATTGAAGATTTCATCATCTGTGTGAAACGCACATTCGTAAAAAGACGTCTTACTACACGGTAAGAAAGCCCTGTATTCCGAAAATGGGATTTGCATGCGTCCATTCCGTGGAAAAAGCCGGCCTCCATTCATTATGTGTCTCACGTGCGCGCACGTATGCAGTTGTGAGCGCTGCCAAAGTCATTACCTTGGACGAGTGCGCGTGTGATATAAGGACGCTTTCGAACGCGCCGTTTCACGTGAACCGAAGACGGGGATATTGCGAAACGATTATTTTCATATTTTAGGGGCGAAACTCTTTATAGCGACACCTGTTCGTCCCTCGTAGCCGTTGTAGTCTGTAACAAGTATAACATTTTGACCTCCAAGGTGGTGCCGGTCAGAGATTTCTTCTGTGCGTTGTTGAACAATAAAAGATAGTGCTCAATGTGCATGTCAATGGCTGCTAAGGGGGAATGAGAGACAGGAGCAATCGGCTTTTAGTTAATGCGCACGCTGTGATCCCCATTAGCGGCCATTGGCATGTACATTGAGCACTATCTGACAAGAAAGGTTTGCTACGTTATACTCGCTGGGTGTAACCTCCTTAGTTTCAGCAAGCCTTAGCGAGCGTTGGGCCGCAGTGTCATGAATAAAGGGAACTAGTATATACCATGAAGTCGAGGTGGTTAAAAGTGGGAAGTAGACCCGAAGCGCAAGCCGTAAGAAAGTGTGCGTGTGCCACCTCTCGTTTAGTCCTTGGAATGTCCGCTGGATGGCGGTGCTTCTATATGGGGAATATATGATGAAAAGATGCGAGATGGTGGTACTTGGAGTGTTGAATAGATGGACGAACGGAC